TGGGGAAAGATTGAATGCTGCTCAGAGAGAAAGAATGCGCCTTTTGACTACAGCAGCCTTTGACCGAGGGAAGGGTGAGGATACTTTTGGCGCCAAAGATGAAGATTGGCAACTTTATAAACTAATGAGCAAAGATAACGACAATGACGATGATGGAGCTGATGAAGATGAAGCAGAGCTGGCCCGTGTTTGTTCTAGGCTTCAGGTCAATTTCTTTGCCTTGCATGTATTGATTTATTTGAGATTCTCCTAATTGGTCATGTAAGATGAATCTTCGTTGATCTCTGTTTCTGCAGGAGATCGACCCTACATTTGTTCCGAAACCAGAATCAACATCTTTACAACCGACCAATGCCGAGGCACCAAGTTTTTGTCCACTCACCAAGGAAGATTATCAAATTGTGCTTGGGGTTGAAAGGTTTCGATGTCCTGAAATATTATTCCACCCCAACTTGGTCGGGATAGATCAAGCAGGTTTAGATGAGATGACAGGGGTCTCAATAAGAAGGTTGCCATCTAAGGATGAGGGACTGGAGGATAGATTGACCAGCTCGATCTTTATGACTGGTGGCTGCTCTCTCTTTCCTGGTATAAACGAACGTTTGGAAGCTGGAATCCGGATGCTTCGACCATGTGGGGCGCCAATTAAGGTGGTAAGAGCATTAGATCCAGTTCTTGATGCATGGCGTGGTGCTTCTATTTATGCTGCAAACTTGCAGTTCCCACAGCAAACCTTCACCAGGGCGGATTATTATGATAAGGGAGAGGATTGGCTTCGCAGATACCAACTGCGTTACACATTGTAATTTTCCTTTGAGATTGAGATTGTAGTTAGATCAATTCCCATTTCGGAAACAACTAAAATCCAGCGGCTTATTCTTAAGTAACATGTTATTCTCGGAAACTATGAAACTTTCATGCATGCCGTACGCTACTGTTTAATAGATTTTTCTCTAGTTTTCTCATTAATGGTCTAAATGGGAGATAGTTCCTTTTCAAACTCTATGCAAATAAAAAAAGAATCATTTTCAGATTCAAATATGATTTCTTGAGATGGATTTATGGTCATATATGATGGCTTCAAATCCAAAAGATAGTTTAGTTGGACCTTGTAAAAGATTAAATACGGTGAGATTGAAAATAGTAAAAAAAATTATTATAATTATGATAAAAACAAATTATTGTGATTATGATCGAAAAAAAAAAAAAGAAAAATTTATATTAATTTAATTTTATTAGAGTTGATATTTAAATTCATTTTGATTGTGTGATGAATTTAATCATATTATACCTAAAAGATAATAAAATTTAAACGGGACTTAATAAGTTTAAAGTTTGACTCGTAATTTTTATTTTTTCTTCATACTGGATTTTATGTTAAAAAAAAAAAATAGCTTCCCCCAAATGTTATTATGTTAATAAATCAACCTTAAGCTGATCAAATCTAGGTGAGTTAGGGTTAAATTTTTGCTGCTTGAGCACGTATGTAAAAAACAAAAAGGGTCGAATAAAAAAATAAAAATTTCAGAAGTAACGGCTATTTGGGACATAATTGGTAACCAAACCAATCTGACAGCTCTTATGAGCTTGCTTGCTTGATAATATTATTTCATAAAAATGACCGTTACTAGAATTGCACGAACCCTGTCGTTTTTAGTTCTTCAAAAACCAAAACGACACTCTCTCTTCCCTTTTCCAAACATATATTAAAAACGACCGCTCCTCTCTACCCTACCAAAACCAAAATTTGACCGTTGCAAATCTTCCCCTTCAGGCTTCAGCCACCCCCAAAAAAGGCAGGAAAATCAGCTCCCCCTTTGAAAAACCCTCTTTTGCAACCAAAGAGGAGCCCTTTCCTGCTACCAAATCTTCCATTCTAATCTTCATATCGAAAAAAAATAAGAGAAACCCATTTTTGTCAAGCACTCAAGCTTCTCGAAGAACAAAAAAGCCCAGAAAATGGATTCACCACAAAGAAGAAAAAGTGGTCTAAACCTCCCTGCTGGAATGAATGAAACTTCACTTCGGCTAGAAACATTTTCGAATTCTTCTTCTTCTTTTCGTTCGATTTCGATATCTTCACCACGAATGATATCGAGTTTAAGTTCACCATCATCGTCAAAATCATCAACTTGTAGTGATAGGTTTATTCCATGCAGATCTTCTTCAAGGCTACACACTTTTGGGTTAATAGAGGAGTCACCCGCTAAAGAAGGAGGAAATGAAGCATATTCCAGGCTTTTGAAATCTGAACTTTTTGGTTCTGATTTTGGTTCTTTTTCTCCTGCAGGTCAAGGATCACCGATGAGTCCTAACAAAAACATGTTGAGGTTCAAGACTGAGCATTCTGGGCCTAATTCTCCGTATTCTCCTTCCATTTTGGGACAGGATAGCGGGTTCTCTAGTGAAGCCTCTACACCTCCCAAGCCACCTCGAAAAGTCCCCAAGACTCCCCATAAGGTAAATGAGCTATTTTGCCAGCTATGTTACATGAACTTTTCATAGTTTGAAAATGGAAACTTTAGAAAACTAAAAGTTCAGGTTCTTTGATCCTCCCTATTAATGTTAAAGTTTATCAAAATCAGCCATACCTGTATCAGATTCATACCCACATTGGATCCCAAAGTCCATGTATGATTCTTTTGTAGAATAGAAGACTTGACTCAAAATACCACATTGTTATAGTGCATTAGTTAGCCTAGTTGAGATGGGAGGGAAGTTCAATGAGACTGGATACTTTTTTTCTTTCAAATTTCTGTAGCGGATGGCTCAATTAAGATAATGTAATGGAACTGTTAAATGATTGCAGGTCCTAGATGCGCCGTCACTTCAAGATGACTTCTATTTGAACCTTGTTGATTGGTCATCGCAGAATGTACTTGCAGTTGGGTTGGGTACTTGTGTTTATTTATGGACTGCATCAAATAGCAAAGTAAGTTTTGTATGCTTCAATCTACAAATTGGATCCATTGCAGAATTTGATATACAAAATTGCCTTTGAAAATGGTCTTTGATTGAATTATGAGGGAGATAAATGAATGTTGTTATCTTGCTCTCAGGTAACAAAGTTGTGTGATTTGGGGCCAAATGACAGTGTGTGTGCTGTTCAATGGACCCGGGAAGGTTCTTACATATCGATTGGTACAAATCTTGGTCAAGTTCAGGTAGCTAGATTTCATTTTATACCATTTAATAACTCTCATATTTGACTTGTAGGGTGGGTTTAAAACACAGTTGATACATTTTGGTTCCTTTTATATAGGTATGGGATGGAACTCAGTGCAAGAGGGTCCGAACCATGGGTGGTCATCAAACAAGAACCGGTGTCTTGGCTTGGAATTCACGGATACTATCATCAGGAAGCAGGGATCGCAACATTCTTCAGCATGATCTTCGAGTTTCAAGTGACTATGTTAGCAAGCTTGTTGGACACAAATCTGAGGTAAAGCCTTCAGTAAATCTTATAAATGGACTAAATCAGTTCATTTGTAAAGCTTTATTATGTCTTTCTCGTCACAGCATTAACTCTTTTCTTCATTAATAACAAGAAACTTAACTTGTTATCTGTTTAATCCATCAGGTTTGTGGGCTGAAATGGTCACTCGATGACCGTGAACTTGCTTCAGGTGGAAATGACAATCAGGTAGACATCACTTGATTCCCTTTTTCTGTTATCCTGGTCTTTCTTCTCCTTTTTATCCCAGTAAACATAGCAAATCGCTAACTCAACTGTTTTGTTGGTGATCACTGATCAGCTGTTGGTCTGGAACCAGCATTCTCAGCAACCAGTTCTTAAATTGACAGAACACGCGGCTGCTGTCAAAGCCATTGCTTGGTCACCCCACCAAAGCAACCTTCTTGCATCTGGTGGTGGAACTGCTGATCGATGTATCCGATTTTGGAATACTACCAATGGTCATCAATTGAACAAGATAGACACAGGGAGCCAGGTTTTTACAATTTTTACTTGTTATTCATTGCATTTCCTTCCTGACTAGTGAACTTAATTATATTGCAACAATGTTGTATATTGATGAACACCATGCTTAGTTACCCTTTCTTAACGTGCCCAGGTATGCAATCTATCATGGAGTAAGAATGTGAATGAGTTAGTAAGCACTCACGGATATTCTCAAAATCAAATTATGGTGTGGAAGTATCCATCTTTGGCAAAGGTACTAGCAGTAAAAAATGTTTCAATCCTCAATATTTGTATATGAATCTTTCCCCACTATTTTGCAAAAGTTTATCTTCCATTTTGATTTTTTGTAGGTTGCAACTCTAACTGGGCATAGTCTTCGAGTCCTCTACCTTGCTATGTCACCTGATGGACAGGTAAATGTTTCCCCTATGATTAATGTTACTCTCATAGATATACAGGACTCCTCGACGTGTGATATAAAGCATTCATTTAATGAAAATGATTGAACTCCATCTTTGCTAATGTTGCAGACTATAGTAACTGGAGCAGGGGACGAGACTTTGAGGTTTTGGAATGTCTTCCCATCTGTGAAAGCACCAGTAAGTACATTCTTGAGTGTTTTTTCCCCATTCAATTCTTCAGCTATCCTTAACATATGCTTCATTTTTTTTTTTTTTTGCCCTTCTTCAGACACCAGTCAAAGATACAGGACTCTGGTCATTAGGACGAACCTACATTCGATGAACGCTTGAATTTCCCTTTTTTTTTTTTTTTTTTTTTTTTTTTTTTTGTAAATGGAGAAGCAACCACGGGAAAGTTACAGACCGAATAGGATTTAAATGTATTCTTGTATATTTTTGTTTCATTTTTTTTATAATTGTATGTATTTTTCTTGCTTTACAATGTTACTGCACTAACACAAGGAACAAAATGAAATAAAAAATATTACAAGATTTTTTAGTATTTTGCGAATATAATTTTAAGTTTTTTTTTCTTTTTTCTTTCAGGTGCTTGACAAAATTGACAAAGTGTCTATAACTAACTCCAAAACAATCATGAGTTTCTTGGATTTTTTTTGTTTCTCTTAAAATTTTTTGTAAGAAAATTTTTTGAAGAAAGCACAGATCATATTTAGTATGTTCTCTGAAGACTTACAGAAATAACACCATCCAATTTCTGCCAATGTAATTACATTATGCGCAACAAAAATTACAAGGCCTTATTTTTTATGCCTTCTGCTCATATAATTTCCCCATGTATCCCAGCTGTCAACAAAATTACAGATGGCAAGAACATTAGCACAGCTTGGTGTCTGCTGCTGGTTGTTGGACCCTGAAGATGAGAGTGATTAGCTGAAATAAAACTGAGCCTCGCTATGTATGATTTGTGAATCCCAGTTTCATCAACATTATTGTAATTGGCTAGATCATATGAGCAGCAGGTTGTTGTCAGTACCAGAAAAAGATTGAGCCTTACTATGACTGCAAATCTTGACAAATTAAATAAATCTCTCTGGATGAAGATCTTGTAGCCTTAGGCCTTAACCATGATGCTTTTTTGAAGAGTGGTTTGCAGACCTGGTTCAACTCTGACAAACAGCCAGAAAAAAGTGAGAAGTCCGTATCTTTTGTTGGCAGTAAAAGAGAAATTTTGTTTTATGAAGTAAATGCCTACCTTTTGTATCCTCACTCTCCAGAAGCTTAATGACAAGATGCCCTCTGGATTGCAATACACCATTATCATCTGGATTGTAAGTGCATGATTCTCCTTCCATTTGAAAATTATCACCTGGGATGTCGGCAGCTCTACCAACAGCCAAATCAACCGCTCGCATACCTAACTCAAAGGATAAAGCTGCATCCCGAGATGTAATTCCAGAAACCAAGGGACACATATCTGAAAGTATAACTGAGAAACCCTTTTTCTGCAGGAATGCAAAACCAACTCACATCTGTAAGAGGTTCAACAGACATTTTTTCTTTTCCTCTAGACAAATAGAAGACTCCTCTTATCTTAGGATTCACTTTGACAGATATAACTGAATATTAACCTTTTAGAAACAAAGGGCTGCTTGTACCAACAAGGCAGCAAGTTTCATTACCAAACCTATTCCCTAAAGCATTCATAGCGTCTCCTTAATGCCAGATATTATCTTTTTTGTCAAACATTTTCCTTCTGGCGGGTCTAAATTGACTGATTTTATAATGCTTTGCTTCATTTGAATGATCAAAGCCACAAACAATGCCAAGTTTGTTTTAACATCATCACTAATAATATCGAATCTACATATCTTTCAAGTTACAAGGCAATTTAGGACTCAAAAGTGTTTAAGAAATTCCTAAAGATGATTTTACTTGACAACAGTAGGCAAACATCATTTAATCACTTCAAAAGGCTATTGGATAAACATTCAAATTCGAACAAACCTACAAAAGCTCTTAAAAGATTACAAATGCTAAGATGTCAAAGACGCAAATTATTGACATAAAATTCGATACCTTAGGTGAGAGTTCCCTAACTTGTTGCTTGGATAGATTCATGACATCAGCAGCAACAGTTTGGACCCTTGAATCACAGTGAAGAGAAGGAACCTTCACCTTCTGTTCTGCAAAATCCCACATTTTATTTCCACACATTACAATCAAACTCAATACAGTACAATTGACCCAAAAGTAAAAACTTTCACTTTCTTACCAAACAAAAACATAAGAAATTAAGCCATCAAGTAATGAATGTACCTTAACATCAATTCCCACAACAGCCCCACCATTCTTCAATGGACCCAAACTCTGACAAGCAACCTATAATAACACCATGAAATGCACATAAAATCAAAAGCAATTGATAAAACAAGAAAAACCCATCAAAGAAAAAAGCTTATTGAAGAAAATGGGTAACCTGAAGCCAAGCACCAGGGGCACAACCAAGGTCAAGAACAACAGAACCTGGCTTTATCAACTTATATTGCTTCTGCATTTGAAGCAACTGAAAATCAAGCAAGAAGTGATTAGAAAAAGAAAAAGAAAAAAAACAATGAGAATAAAAGAACAAGTTATAAAGGCAGCAACCTTGAAAGCAGAACGAGCAACATAGCCAAGGCGTTGAGCTTCCCTGTAGAAAAAATCGGGTGCTCCAGCCCCACTCATCTCTGCAAATTTCTAAAACCCTGTTGGTTTTTTTTTTAATCTAGGTTGTTTAAAGGCCTGGAGCCCATTTAAGGCCCGTTTAAGCCTGTAATTAAAGGTGGGTCTCTTTTGGACAGGTTTGGTAAAGATGGCTTTTGAAGTCAGCCCATCTAGATTTGTTGATATGTTAATGATTATAACTTATAATTATGTTTATACTTCTTTTATATATAAAAATAAATAATATTTATTAATTAAATGATTAAAAATATAAGAATATCAAGATAAATTATGTAGTGGAGTAATAACTTTAACTATTTACTTATTTTTAGTAATATAATATGTTTTTAATTTGAGAAAAAAAAAAGTAGGAACCAAAATAAATTCTATCTTAATGATTGTGCTAATATTAAAACAACATTAAATCCAACTAATCAACTAATTTGATCAATGAAGTCCCTTCGTAATTTGATTAATGTAACTGATGATTAAAGGTTTCATTTGATAATATGATGGATAAAATTTTTTATGTCATATTTATATTTTATGATAGTATATTAGATAAAATTTTTACCGTATCATAGTTGTGTTTTATGTAAATTAATGTTAATGGTGATTAAAAGTTCATTTGGCAACATGATAAATAAGATTTTTTGCATCATAGTTACTTTTTATTACAGTGTAGTAAATGAAATTTTTTTACGGGTCACAACCGATTGAAGTTCCACAATCTGGCATATCAAAAGAATATAAAAATTTAGGGTCCAGCCAAGGAGGATGAGATTTGGTGAAGCACATGAAATGTTAAGAAATGTCTACTTCTTGCTTCTTACCAGCTGTATTTTTCAGGACACTTTCAACCTTTCCTTGTACGTAACGCATCACATCAAATGATCAAATATGGCGTTTACGTCACGTGAATAATTATCTCCCTAACAGCATATTAATATAATATAGGATAATTAACAATAAAAATTGATTACATGCTCATAACCACAACACTTGACTTCTAAACACATCAAAGGCATATAACTTAGTCTGCCAAAGGTGACGGAAAACTGATAAAAAGCTTACTTGGAATCTTATTGCATAAAATCAAATTGAGATTAACAAACCTAAATTCTTTTTTTTTTTTTTTAAATTTTCTTCATGTTATAATGTATTCATGCATCTTATTACGATCAAGGATATCTCCAAGTTTTGTTTTGATTTAATTCTTTTTTAAAATAATTGTAAAAGGGTCGATGATGCATTCAAAATTTTACTCTTGAAGTGCGTCCTACGAAAACCTAACCCTAGTTGATAAGAAAAAGAAACTCATCTTCTTAACAATTGCATTAACCCTTATGGGTGTTACTAAGCTATTTTGAGTATAAAATATTGTAACCAGCAGTTTCTATCCCAAGCATTGCCCATCTGATAAGTTTAGGTGCATATGACTCTTCCTTGCTGTTCATTGGCAAACAACTAAAGAAAAATTATTGAAATACCTCCAATTTAAATCATTGCTCTTGGAAGCAACAATTCTGATTGGATGATTATTAAATTCTACTTCAAACATTAGGTGTGTTCATCCAATACTCTGCATTGCACACTGAAACATTTAAATAAAGTCTTACTACAACTTACAAGTAACATCACTCCAAAATAGCGAGCCTAGAAGATGGATAATATAACATAAAACTGCATTTGAATATGAGATTAACGGAGATAATGTCAACTAAGACGCATGCATCAATGCCACTTACTGCAGGATATAAACTATTAAATAAAGAGAAAACCAAGAGCAACAACTTTTTAATTAAATTGGAACACCCCAAACTAAAATATCATTACTTCATACAGCAGAAGATCTCGGGATTGGTTTGTTAATGGGGACCATTTCACAAACTATACCATTAGATATTGTTAATGGATTCAGTACATTGAATTGAATTGAGTTGGTTTGCTTTTCCATTAAGGAAATCAAAGGGAAGTTTAATAGTATTGGTTTAAAGTTGCTCAAGAAATGTTAGATTTAAATTCTATTGCTCATAAGTTAGAATAATAAGACAATGAGAATATTAAACAAAGAGGTTTACTAATATAGCCACAGGAAGCATCTAAATATCAGCAGACATAAATTGAATCCCCCAGACAGAATGTTGATCGGTTTAAGTAAAAGTGAGATACAATGTAAAACAAGAGAGTTCATTAACATCTTCGAAGCAACAACAAGCACTACTTTAAGCTGAAGAGATTCTCAATATCATTTACATTCCCCTAACCTGCTAGCTTTTGATCTAATTAGGCCACGGTTTCATTAAGGATGTGCAGGTATAAAAGCCATTATCATTGCTGTTATCCCTGGTACATTTTATGTACCATGAACATCCATACAATTATCTCAGCCCATAGGGTAGCTACCAACGCAATATGGTACATGATGAATTCACCTTTTGCTAAATTAATGACCAGTAAGCAATCTCTGATTTCAGTCTTCAAAAGCATGAGAATATGCACCAGCAAAGATCTTACTTACATAACATGTTCAGAAAATGCAAACAAATAATTGTCAATATCAAGTTCTTATATCTATTGCATGCAACAAAATTGGCAAGATCTCTATGCCTGTTTTCGTGCGTGTTGTGTGTAGTCTAATCGTGCACATGTGTGTGAGTGTGTGAGAAAAGAGAGATAGTGGGGAGGGATTTTGTCTATAATTGCAGGAAGTCAGCACCTTATCTTCGTATATGCCAAATTCATCATTAAATCATAACCACCAAAGAATGCAATCAGACCTTGCCTTACAAGTAGGAACAAAAATTCACTTAAGAGGCAGGCACCCAAGAAGAAAGTGCATAAACAATTCGTCCCTTCCACCCTTGGAGCAACCAGCGGTTATCCTCATCAATTACAAAGTCCTTGTGGTAGAATGTATCTACCCTCTCCTTTGCCATCTTCGTGATCTCCTTATTCAGTGGCAACTGCCTGAGCCCAGCCCTCATATTCCGGACCTGCCACTGCTTGTATGTCTCAGGCCTCTCGATTCTTTCAGCACCCTCACATGCGATGACATTCATTGCCTCCCACCCAAATATCTCTCTCTCAATCAGCATCCGTTCTGGAATTTCACGGGGCACATTAGTCTCAAGCATATCGAATAAAGTGGAATAATGGAAGAGAGCCTCCCTGAATCTCGTAATAAAGAATGGAGAACTGCAGGCACCATTCACAATTCCCAGTATAAAAACATCAGGATGCATCTTCCTGATCAAATTCAGAACTTTATCCCTTGGACTCTCCACAACCACAGTCTCATCAAGTAGATTTCTAAGCCTGTACATGCAGTTTACAACAAGCACCTCATCACTATCAATCTTGAGGTCCTCAATTTGAATGGTGTCCCACTTCTGTGCAATTGCATGGAACTCAAATGGAACTTTGAAAGTCTCTGCATAGTTTGCAAGACGGCGTCCTGTCTCCTCAACCCTTTCTGCTGGGCGGAAACCTGGTTGTGGAAGATCGATCCCTGTAATCCTTAGCTTAGGTGGTCCCCCAGGTCTAGATGAGAGATGCCGTATAAGACAAGGCCATTGGAAGCCATATAGAATACCAAAATCAATAATATGAAGCCTAGCAGCATTTTCTGATAGATTCATTATTGTCCTATTTGAGAAGCAATTTGAGAGCTTCCTAAAAGGACATGCAGCAAGATACAGATGGTAAGCTTTCAAAACATCAGCAGCTGATGTTGGCTTTGTGATAAGAGCTGTGTAAATCTTGGTCCCAGAGCCAGCTAAGCGTGCCTCTAAGCCATCAACAAAATAGTGGGCCATCCTCTGCATCCCATCACCCATAGATGAAGAATGCTGCCTAATTTGCTTCAGCAGCTGATTTGCACTCCTCCGATCATCAGTTGCAACGGATTGTGCACAAAGGGTTAAGAGAGTTCTCAAATCCACCACGTTCCTTTTACCTTGTTTCTTCCCACGTGCCTTTCCACCAGTAGACCCTTTCAATTTTCCATTCTGCTCCACATTCTTGCTTGTTTCATTTTGCAAAACTTTTTGAAGGTCAGTTACGCTTTGACCGTTTAGTAGCACCGCATCAAACATTTCTGCACTTACAGTGGATTCAGTATAAAAAAATGACTGCTTGTTACTCCTCTCAGTCTCTAAATTCACATCCTCAGGATGAGGGTTCTTCTTTCCCCTTGATCCATCCTGTAAGAACTCATTCTTCTCCACCTTATCCACAACCTCTTTAGCCTCTTCCTTTAGCTCTTTGAGAAACAATCCATCACTCTCCACATCAACAAACAGGCTCCCACCATTTGGAAGGAACCTACTTGCTTCCTCAAACCCTTTTCTAAATTGCATGACACCGATTACAGACTCACTATCATTAAATATTTCAGGAAGCCTAAGAGTACTCACTGGAGAATCCACAAAGCCAACTACCACACTACCAGTACTGTTCCCTAAGCGATGTGATGAATTGGACTGAGAAGCAAAGTTTAAAGACCTTTGCTCACCCAAAAAATGGTTGCACCCAGGATTGACTAAATTACTGCTACTACTACTACTACTGATGCTAGCACTACTACATCTCCAACAACTTTGATCATGACTATCATCAGAGCCTTCTTGCTTTTGATCAGCATAGGGTTTCAATTCATAATTGGAAGAAGGTGGATACCTTTCTCCAAGAACCTCATAAAACGACTTCTCTGCAGCTTGAAGTGCTGCTGAGGACTCTTTAAACATGCAGGTCTTATCTTCCATATCTTCTTCCATAAGCATCTGACTTATGAACTTAAGAACTACATCACTGAAGTCATAATCTTCATGTAAATCTCCCTCCTCGTTCACACTCGAGGAAGACGCTATACTTCTCGGAATTGGAGCAGGTTGCAACAGAGGAATATCAACAAAGTTTTCATTCTTAAACCTGTTATCAAAATTCCTACCAGATAAAGCCAACATAGTATCATCATTTAGTCTGAATCTATCAACAGAACTATAAGGTCCCTTCAATGATCCATCCATGACGATATGTTTTACAAAGGAATATGACAGTAACAACCAACAGCCAATACCTAAATCCAAATTTCTGAACTTTCAATTACAACACTAAACAACCAAAAGAAAAACCCAGAAAACCCAACCTCAAATCCAACTTCTCTCCTCTTCTTATATTGCACCTTGTGATCAAAATAGCAGCTTTTCAACTACAAGCTATTATGTTTCTTCAAGCTCAAAATTCCCTAGAAACATCAAAATGATACAGCATCAAACATATAGAAAACTGAGTACAAATAAAAACTGAAAAATCTGGACATTACAATAACAAAAAGATAAATCTTCCAACACTATAAAACATAAAAATAAGATATTTGGACAATACATAACATAAAAATAACATAGTTGAACAGCACATCACATAAAAATGAACATGTAAAAAACCATTAAGGGAAATGAAACTAGCAATGAATATTAAAAAACAAAATCCCAGATAGAAATGATCCTTGTTAGAACAATATAAGAATCAAACAGGGAACAATAAAGATTCTTTAAGGCTTAAAAAGAAACCTAAAAAAACCCATCAAGCTACTTTAAAACTAACCGTAAAAGGAGGAGAAAAGATGAAGAGAAGAAGTACCTGAGCTGAGTCTAAAAGAAAGAGAGAAAAGGATACAGGGCAAACAAGGCTTAACCTTTTGGACTTGAAAGAGAGAGAGCGCTGTTTGTTTCGTTGGATACAAAAGAAACGATCTGTTAAATAGGATGATATTAATGATTGAGCCAGGAGGATTTAAGGTGGAGGGTGATTGGTTAAATCTTAGCCGTTCATTCATATCTAAAATTAAAATTTTCGTTTTTCATGTGATTAACATTTTTTTTTCTCTTTTTATCATTTTTTCAATTAAAAAAAGTTTGATTTTTTTCCAAAAAAGTATAGTACTATCTAAAAGTCTTAATTTTTTAAGAATTCATTTAACTATAAACAGACGTAAACATATAAATAGATTTGTTCATAAATCATATTATTTTTTATGTTTTTGAGCTCGAATTAATTTAATTTAATTTTAAAATATATTTAAAGATATTAATAAAATATAATAATAATATTTTTATTATAACGAACCTAATAATTACACCAACCCAAATCTAGGAATAAACAAAATTTCTAATTAGGACATATAAATAAACAAAATTTCTTATCAACAATAATTTAATTATAATTAGGACTTATTTTTCATTTTTTTAAATATATCAAACTAAGAAAATAGGAAGAGTGAGCAAGCAAATTTTCTATAATAAAAGTATGAATGAATTTATTGGAATAAACAAATAATGACCATAAACCATGACTCAATAACACCTTTGTAGAATTGTAGTGTCTTATTTTATTCATATTGTTTCTTTACATAATTAATTAGGATTAAATATTAATTCAAATAGTACCCATATATATTTTTAATTTTACTTTAAAGATTTATATTTTAAAAAAATACATACTTATACATTATGCTATTTAAACTTTCGAGTTTGGATCATTTAACAATCTCATTATTTAATTTTAAAGATCTTTTTTCCTTTTTTTTTTTTTTTTGGTAATACTATAGAGGTGCTCCTTTGCTTAAGTTTTAGAGTGTTTTTTTCACCCACAATTTTAAAGAGGTAATTTTTTGTATTGATATGATATATTCAATATTTTATTTTTTAAATAATATTAATTTTTTATATTAATATTCTTAATAAGTAGCACTAGTACTATATATTTGAAAAAAATAATTAACAAGATTAATATGTATAAAGAATGAATTAAAAAATAAAAGATAGAAGCCTCTAACATATTATAAAAGTAAATTTGATAATTCGTGTATTCATGTTATATAAAATATTAAAATTTGTGTATTCATATTTTATTTTATACTAAAATTATATATCACAATTTTTATCAACATAAAACATAATGTATTTTTTTATTTTATTAAATTTATATATAATTATTACTAAAATTTTAAATCGTATCATATTTATATCTTATTTTTATATCGTATTCATATCCTATCATAAATTTTAGATTATTAGATCTATATAAAAGATTGCCCACTTCGAATTAATAAAAACTTATAATATTTTTTATGAATTAATTCATGTGTTGTTTTGACAGCTCTTGCCCTTTTAGTATCCTCATCATATTTCATTAATACACAATTAAAATTTTCCTTGAGACACTAACTTAAATTCTTACATTTATCATAATTAATGTTTCTAAAACCATGGTGGCTATTACACTTAAATGAAAATTTTTTTCAAAAAAAGAGCTCTTTTAAAATAGTCAAACCTTCTCTTAATGAAGAATTTATCAATTTAGAACACTTTTAATTAGGGGCAAAGACTTGTTAAAAAAATAGAAGAGAAATATTAGCGTGTATCAAATAGTATTGGTTTAAGTAAGATTTAATGATTAGAGTTTAAATTCTAATAATTTTAAATATTAAAAAAATTTTATAATTACTTTATTATTTTTTTATTGAATTTACTAAAAATAATATATTAAATTAAATGTAAAAATCTTTTTGAGATAACATTTAACTAATTTTAACAAGTGTTTATAGGCAGTTGACTAATTAATTATTCCCTTTATAACATGTGATCATATGAACTAATTAGTTGTAATTAAAGCAACCGAAGTTTCCTCTTTCAATCACATCAAAGCAAAAGGTAAAGGCAGTTGACTAAATTGTGCTTGTCAATTTTAAAATTTTCAAGGTCAAATTTGGCTTTGGGTTATTTAATTAAAAAAAACAAGAAAAAAACATATGTAAGAAAAATAAACAAGTGTAGTCCAAATTTCTTTTCCTCGTACAAAAACATAAAATGGTTAATGGAGTTGGAAGAAACATCATTTTCTACTTTTGCATTTCTATTTATTTTATATTTATTATTAATAAAAACTTTATCATGATTTTTGCCCTTTTGTTCCTATATTTTCATTATGATTAATATGTTTTTGCCATGGTTTTGAACCTTAAACTTTGTTTGGTTCATATGTCATTGTCATTAGGTCTCATGTTTGAAAATAAATTTTCTTTGTATAAAAGCAATCAACCTTTTAAAACACGACAACTTGTACAGAAGGCTAAACCTGATTTGATTTAGGACAATTATATATGTCTCTTTGTTTTATATAATAATAAATATATATATGATATAAATTTATTATTTGTAAATTTTGATAAATATCATATAATTTTATATTATAATTAATTAATTATAATATAATTATTATCGATAACATATTTTTGGATTATGAAGGTATATTTATTAAGTTTTATGGATATATTTGGAGATAATATTTTCTCATTTTTTATTTTATTTTTTAAAATTTATTTATGTATTTTTTACTTGAAATTATTAGATATTTATCTTTAATTATTAAAATTAAGAATCTAGTATTTTAATAACAAATCATGTAATTATTGATATTTATTTATATTAATTTAACTTGCTCTTATAATCAATTGACACAAAATTATTTTTTCATACAAAAATGAAAACATATGACTCGAATTAAAGATTTTTACTCAAATTTCATCTTATGTGTACCATTCATACTCAAGTTCAAATACAATTAATATGTATAAGAATAATAAAATTACTTATCAAGAGTTCAATCTCAAAATTAAAAATATTTTGTGATCGATAGTATAAAATATTTTAAAAATAAACATGTAATAAATTTTTATTTCATTCATAAAATAAAAAAAATTATGCTATCAATACATTAAAACGATCATACTATTTATTTTTAACAAAAACAAAAAATCATAGTAATTTAGGAGGTCTCATTCCAAAGTTAAAATCGAATCCTTTCACTTTTTAATATATGGGTGTAAATAGAGACGTAAATGATACATTAGTATTCATAAATTATTCGGATTCAATTTGAATAAAATTTGAATTCGATTCGATTATTATCGAATCGAGCTCGAGCTCAAATAACTCGACTCATCGATCAAATCGAATTCGAGTATTCTTATTATCAGCTCGAGTAACTCGCGAGTCTAATCGAATTTTTATATTTAAAATTTTTTTATTATTTTAATTAATAAAATATCTCGAATTCGACCTCGAACTCGAGCATAAATAATTCAACTCTTATCGAGTATAAGAATTGAGTTTATTTTTATATATTTTTAAATTTAATCGAACGAGTTCAAATAACTCGAATTCTATCATGAATCGAGTTTGAGTTAAAAAAATAAAACTCGATTAAGTTTAAATTGAATATCGTATCACGAATTAAAAGTCAAATTCAAACTTCTCATGTATCAACTCGACTCGACTTGATTACATTCTTTTCATTCTAACGCTGTCGTTTCCTCTTTCCTTTGTAAAAGTTTTGCCCTCTTAAAATACCAAAAAAAGTCGGGTCGTAGGCCTAGGTTTGAATTATTTCGTGTGATTAATTTTGACATAAATTTGATGCAGGAAAAGCATCAAATCACTCACAAAAAACAAAACAATGGGCCCAAAAATTTGTTAGGAGACCTCAGATTTTTGGATTGTTCTTTCAAGTTTTCCAACCATGTTTATGGACAGAATCTGACAAAACATGGGCCCACAATATGAATAATCTATCAATCTTGGGCCATTTTTAAAAATTTTTTCTTTCTTGGGTTGAGAGTTTTTATATATTGCTGACTGATGGGGAGTGGTGAATTAACTAATTTTGGTCAAGACAATTCTTGGATTTGGTAATTTTTTTTTTTAATAACTCAAGGAATCTAATCTGGTACAGGTATTTTTCAAAAAAAATGTTTTATAAATTCAGTGAATTAAGTCGAATTTAATGTTATTTATTTTTTTTTATAAAAATTTAAAAATAAGGGAGATTATTCAATCTCTAAAGTTTAAGGTAAATTGAAATTTATGAATTTATTGTATTTTTATTTATTATATTTTTATTTATTTTTGTAACAATTTAAAAACAAGGGAGATTACCCAATCTTTAAAGTTAGGCGAATCGAAATTTACAAATTTATTGTACTTTCATTTATAAATTTTTTAAATTTACAAATCATTTATTAATAAAAAATCATGTATCTAACATTCGTTTCTTACTATTTCTGTCAATCCTCGTTCACAATGTTATTCTTTTAGAATTATAATAATTAATACATAAACTATATCATAATTAATAGATAAATTATAATCAATAATTTTCATTATTTATCTAAAAAAATGTGTGATAAAATAGTGAAAGTTTTTAATATTTGTTAAGTAATAAAAATAATTTTTTCTTGTCATGAAACTAATAATTTTAGATAAATGATTTAAAAGTTTCGAGTTTGAATCACGAAATTGAAAAAAAAAAAAAAAAAAAAAACTATCTCTTCGTTGATAATTGGATAACAGGATAAGAATCATTATTGAAAGAATATGCCCCAAATTGGCCCCTTTTTTTTTTGTGTGTGAAAAGAATTTCTAAAAGCAAGTGGTCACCCACTCGCAATGATGCTCAAATAACCAAATTGTTTGAATTTCTTTTCAAAAGAAAAGAATCAAAGATAAAATATTTTCCACACTTTAAAGTGTTTTTAAAAATTGACAAAATAAAAGAGAAAAAAAAGAGTTTTCGTAAATGAGAAATTAATTTAACAACACTCCTTAATCTGGCTTGATTATTAATTATTCTTTTTTTGTTCACGGAACTGATTCGAATATTCCGAACGTAATAATATATAATCGAATAATGTATAATTGGCTAGCTAAAACCTAAATTTGACGATATAATTACAAACCAAACCCACCAAGATATTTAATATTGGACTGCAGTATGAATCACCATTCCTCCAATTAAAGAGTTGGGAGACTTCTAAGACTATAGGGGATGTATTTAAATTGAGTTAATATAATAAAAATTTTAAATTCGAGTTTGATTTAAAATTTATTGATTGATTTAAATTTAATTAAATTTTAAATTTAATATTTATTTGAGGTAAATATTAAATTATTTAATTTCGTTCGATCAGATTCGTTTATTTAATAAAAATGAACTTAATTTACAAATTTAATTATTTATATTTAAATTTAATCTTGAACTTCAATTGATACATATAAAAATTAAATAATAATAAAATATAAATATTTAATTAAATTTATAAATTAAATATTAAAATATTTAAACTCTGTTTATATAAATCCAAAATTTCAAGATAAGAATCAAATTCGGTTCATGCACTAAATTTAATGCACTCTCAAACTCATTTTATCGTTGAGTAATGTCCTGTACGGATAACGTTGAAAGTTAGAAAAAATACAACATTATATAAATATGTAACCATTATTTTGATCGATTGACTACCCTTGATTGAGAATCATTTTCTTCCCATTTTTTTTTCTCAATCATGCATGCCATCAAAGAGCAATAAATAGGCCCCTCAAGGCTGCCCCTAGCCCCACTTTAAGATCCAACGCACCACCGTGACTTGGTGGGAAGGTGCAACCTCCCCTGTCATTACCTTCACTGCATGTGCATGAGCATGTGTCTTATTTATAAACATAAATAAACAATGAATTTATGATTCAATTTAATTAATTTATATAATTATTTTTTTGATATAAAAAAATAAATATCTATCAATATTTAATCTACACAGATTATCCTAGATAATAAATAGAGAATTTTTTTTTTTTTGTCAATTAAGATTCGATGTTCATGATGAACATTCGAAGAAAAAATCTTAAATACACCAAGCCACGACGAGGAAGAATACTTCGTTAAAATCACTTGAAAATAAGTTAGGCTTGTTCAAACCTTAGGTTGCGTAAAAATGATCAAGATGTCTCCATTGTTGAATGTTCCTACGTATCTCCTCACCCCGTGTTGATGTATTAAGAGACTGAATTGAAACGAAAGAAAGAGATTTTTGACTTTTTTTTGTCTCTTTTATTGACAAATCAGAAAATTTTGCCCAACTTACTCACATGGTGTAGCGTGCAGGGAACAAGAACCAACATCTTTAACATGAACCAAATCCCTTTGTTTCTGTGTCTGTAAAACACTGACCCAATCTTTGCTTTGCTTCAAAGAAGTTTCGGTTAATTTGTTTGTTTAAAGGATTGGAGGTAAAAAGGAAATTCTTTTCTTTGATTTGAGAAAAGGGTTTCCAAAAAATTTTTATATGTTGATAATAATTTCTGACAATGACAGCAAACTCTTCAACACCAACAAGCACTTGACGTAACTGCCAATATGGTTGGTAAAACTGCCCAGCAATACCACAAAAAACAAAGAACTGAAATATTCTATTAATAAAATGAAGAAAAACAAACTACATGAATCTCTGTTTCTGTCTTTTTTCCTAAGTTCAATGATATGAATTACAACTTTAAATCAAATGAATCAGGAGCCAAACGTACTGTAAATAAGGTTAGAACGAACTTATTTCATCGTATCATTTACAGAATGCCAATGGCTCCGGGATCGGAAGCTGGCAATGAATCGAGTGAGTGTGAGAATGTTACATAAACGTGAATCATTTGTACATGTTGCTTTCTCCCTGTTCTTATTATCAAGGTTTACCTTTCTTTTTTTACATCGTAACGGTCGGTATAGCTGCGACTCCATTTCTGTCAGCTTGGGCGTCTGTAATTCTCAAAGTTCCAGGATGATGCTTGCCTTGTTGTTTAGCTTGATGCTGAGACCAGTAAGCATGAGCAGCCAGGACCCTGTCCAAGAGTTCCTGGGGTACCGGCTCTCCTCTCCTTTGCTGTGGGGAAATTTTTGCTGTGTGAACCAATGTTTTCCATTTATCCTGCACACGATAGTAACACATAATTAGTTAACATTCGGTACATCTAATACCAACAAGATATACCCAATTATGCAAATCACGTTACTTAATGAGAGATCCGTCTGATAAATGCAAATATAAGCTCAGGGATTAGTGACAAAATTGAATTAGCAACAAAAGGAAATAATGAAAGCCTAGGCTATTAAGAGTGATAGGTATAAAGAGAATAATGGAGATTCAGCTTGTTCACATCCAAATTTTATAAGGCTTTTGTTCAAGTCATTTTAAACACCACAAAGACTTATATCATTTAAATAAAAGTTGCTGGTCATCCAGCAACGGTATCCCAAGGAATCCGCCCTGATGGTTGTCGTTCATGGTAACTCCCTTTCATACCCATGTCCTCTTCATAACAAAAGAAATAGTAAAAAGAGAATGAGTGCTTTACCTTCAAATCCACATATGTTCGATGGTCAGCATTCTCAAAAGCTCGCAATTTAATGTCACGCCACCTGCAGAATCCAGAAGAAGAATAATTTTAAATTCTTGACAATTTTATAAGCTGCATCCTCTTCAACAAGCCAATTGAAACAATTGAAATAATTGCTTTTACCCTCATCAGCAAACCCATGAAAGAGGAGTTAGGGAGCACAAGAACTGTGAATAGAACAGCATTATAGAAGCATAGGATATTATACCTTCCAGTACCGAGCTCCTCAACTGCCTGTACCAATGCTTCTACTTCTGACACAGAAAATGGCCTCCTGGTTCTACGCTGTGCAAGCTCAGATTTTCGAATTTTCTGGTTGAAAGGGACAACAGCTAGCGACTCAACATTCATTGCTGGAACTGGAACCAGAGCTCTAGAATCCGGCAGACTTTTATCAGTTAGCATGTCAGTTGGGGAGGAAACAAGTTCATGATTATTGTCCATGTGATTTGCTGAATTCGTCAGTAAAGATGAGCCAGGTGTGTCATCAGGAATCCCTGTATCTACAACTGGAGTGGCTGAGGAGCTGGGAACCAAGCACTAATTAATCAAAAGGTACAGGTAACTCACAATGTATACACATGAACTAAAGTGATCTAAACAACAAAGATTGACAACAGCCTATTATGAAGCATAAAAAATCACCTTGTTAAATTTTGAGCAGCTGCATCACATGATAACAAAAGAGGTGGTTCTTCAGAGTACACAGGTGGAGGCGCTTTTGCAGGACCAGGCTCCAAAGTGAAACCAAGGGCATCCAAATTATCTTCAGAGGAAATACCAGTCTGTGATAGAGTTCTACTGTCATCTCTCACCTTCTTCCCTTGAAGGAGTACCCCAACACGTATTCCACCTCCAAGTAAGGCAGTCACTGCCTCCATTACTGTCCTCTACTCCCATTTAAGTGACATCAATAGTAAAAAGTTAGTAACTATGCCTTAATTTAATTACTATATTCATTAATGTAAAAGCAACATAGCATTTCTATACCTTCAGTGAACCAACAGTTGCAGTTTCTGGCACCTCAATATAAAGTTCTGGAATCCTAAAGGACTTAATGCTGAATTTCACTGTAGAAAATAACAGACCGAATAAGGCATTCTCCAAAACCAGAGAAAAATCATCTGCAAGTAATATGCAACAGTCCATCAAAAATTATCCATACCGTGAGAATCGTTGGACTTGTTGGATGCATGATGACTGGTATGCAAGGAGGATATCCCACATGCTGCAGAGCAGAATAAAAAGTTTAGTAAGATAGTTAACATCTGATCTTGAAATTTGTAAATTATAAAATACTAATAAGATAATTGCAGTAGGGAAGCACCTCCATTCAACATTGCAGCTGAGCTACTCTTATCTCCATTCATAACCTTCTCAGGTGAATTAGAAACACTTTCACTACTGATCCCTCCATCATAAGTTACTATTGAGCTACGATCAAAGAACTTCCTCCTTTTGTAAGTGTCATATTGACATCTGTCATAGTTATAGTAGGTCTTCCGCTTGCGATATAGAGGCTTTATTCCTCCATCTAGAAATATATGAAACACAAAATCAGCAAGAGAATAATTCATGAAGTTCAATATAAGGTGTAAATATTACAAATGGACAGATATAGAAAGAAGCATGCTATAAATGCTAAAACCGTTGGAACCACTCACCAGCTCTAGAATGTTCAAAATCCTTCAACTTTGGAGCTACTTTCCAATATTTAGATGTCAGCAACTTCCTTATTCTTCGGTCTCCAATACATGTTGGAGGCCTAGAAGCCTTAAACCTGTTAGTAAGTTTATTAAACCTAGAGAAGTTTTTATCATCATCATCTCTACTACCTAGCTTAATATCATTCCTATGCCTTGAAAAGGAAGCATTAAGAAGAGGGTCCCTGTGTGACGTTAATTTGACATCTCTGTTAGAATTAATGGGTGCAGGAAATGTCATAGACACTGGATCCTTTAAGGGGCAAGTATTACCAATACTCAAAGCCCCAGTCTCCAAACCCTTAGAATCTCGCTCTTTTTTAAATTCATTCTCACTTTTACCATCACACAACTCCCCAAAATTAGGGGAGCACCTATCTACATTACCAGGAAAATTCCCGTATGCTACATTTCCTTTGCAAATTACAGCCTTCAAATCGCCACTGATTTGCTCCGAGAAAGCACGCTGTTTCTTTATTGAAGTGCGTTCCAAAATGGCATCATCTCCAGCATGTGTAAATCCCTTCAAATTGTCACTGTTTTCAGTAGTTGACTCAGAGGCAACAACACTCACTTCAAAGCTTCCTTGCTCAACAGATTCAGTTTTCAATGGCTTATCTTGATAATGAATTTCCTGTTTAACAACATCTTTACCTATAGTAACATGATCATGTCCTTCAGATGCATTGCTGGAAGCAGAACTTTCACTCTCCTGCAGTAGCTTCCCGGCTAAAGAAGCTAACAATTCGAACGCACAAATTTGACTATCCTCAACTGTCCTCTTAGCCCGACCCCTCCTCTGAAACCGACAACAACCATCGTTTTATTCATCAAACTAGAACAAAATTAAACATGACAAAAACTCGCAGAAAATCAACAGACAACCTTAAAAAGTTAAGGAAGTAAAACAAAACAAGACATACCCGAATTGATCGAGGGGCTCGGGGGACATTGAAGGCATTAAATCCATAATCTGACCTCTTCTTAAACACCATATCTCAGCTATATATGACAATTCAACTCATCATCCTCAAACAAACATTAGATTCTCCAGATTCAAATGCTCTGCATATAAACCAATCCAAAAATAGAAATAGCCTACATATCAGTATAATTAAAAAAAAAACCAAAATTATTAAAATTAGAAAATTACCCAAATCAAATTTTGCTTTATCTATGAATATTAGATAAGCAGATTCATAAGCAAAAAAAAAAAAAGGAAATTAAAAGATTGCCATAAACCACCCCAGAAAATCTGAAATTAAATGGCCAGAATTCTTTAAAAAAAGAAGAACCAATCAAATTTACATATCCCAAAACCCAAAAATCAAAATAGTACATCAAGAGAAGATTATAACTTTGATAAAATTCAAATTTCCGAAAAAAATATAAATTTCCAATATTTAAATTTAAAATTGATTGAAAATCTCAAAGTCAAACAAAAATTTAAACCATTAAACACGCCAAAACAAAGGGCCGAATTCTTATTCTCTTTGTTTTTTCTTAAATATGACGTAGAAATTAAAATCGAAATTCCATAAACCTCGAAATTAACCAGAATTTTCCAATTTGCCATGATTAACATCTCCAAACCAAAAGGAAAAAAACCCAGATCAGATCCCGATCCAAATCACAAATAGAATCGAAATTCACTTACGTAAAACACAATTTGCCTCATAATTTGGCATAATTCAACCAAAAAACCCACTTTAAAAAAAATTAAAAGAAAGAAACCCAATAATTCAAGTAAAAAAAAAACCAAAAATTAAGAATGCAATAACCCAGTGACATACCTTTTCAAATTCAAACGATCTTCAGTTTCTTAAATCCCAATATACATATATACAGAAAACAATTAAAAAGAAAGAAAATTTTCCTAAGAAGAAAGATTCCTGAGAAACAACGATCGGAGAATCCAGATAATCCCAAATTTAATTCAACTGAAATGAGATCAATTTTTTCTTTTCTTTTTTTTAATTTTATGTGGTTTGGAAAGAAGAAGAAAATTTGAGACAAAAACCCTTTAAAGAAAAAAATTAAATCAAATATAAGATAGGGTGCTTAAACCCCATATGTCCATAGTTATTTACCACAAAACTGGATGAGCCGGTGGATTCGAGATTACCGGCAATAGAAGGTAATTCAAATCCTCTTGACGGGTCATGATTGTAGGAACACTTGTCAGAATTATTTATTTATTTACTATTTATCGGGATAAGAAAAATAATAATATTTGATGGAAGCGTTTTCAGTTTTGTTTCGTGAACTCATTTTCTGATTGGTTTTGTTCACTTATTGTAAATTTGGTTTGGATTTAATCTTTTTTTTTTGGGTGAAATTGTCTATACCATTATTTTTCTTTGGTTAATCCTTTTTTCATTGTTGCTGTAATGTTGGGTATATAATTAAAGGACAATTTATTATTTTATAATAATAAAAATTTTAAAAATATTATAAAATACAAATGAAAATGATATTAAATTTTGCGTATATATATATATATAATGTTTTAGCAATGTAAATGCAAATACGTTCATTTATTATGTAATATGAAGAAAAGAAAACCTTTGTACATGATTAATTTTAAATTTATTAAATGTCATATTTTAAGAATAATTAAATAAATTAATTTGATTAAGTTTCATAAGAAATTTTGATATTAATTTCATGATGATGTTTAAAAGAATAACAATTAATTAATTTAAATATTTTATGAGAAAGAATTTAACTTATAGATATTTTAATTGATATAGGAGTTTTTGAAACAATTAATTAACCTAGATATTTTTATGGGAAAGAATTAAGTTATAGATATTTTAATTGACATAGGTGTTATTGAAAAAAATAATTTTCTTAAAAATATATACATAAATAAAAGATTTGAGATTTGTATTTTATTTTTTTATAAATAATAAAAATAGTTAAATTAATTTTTAGAGGATATTTAAAAAGTAATTAAATATGAAATAAAAACCTTTTATTTTTGTGTGAAAATATCATTATAGATTATTAATCTTTTTGATACATTATCAAGTTATAGTGATAAAAATTTGAGTTATTAAGTTGGTGATTTATTTGGATATATTTATAAAACATCAATAATAATAATAATAATTATTTTTTGTTGTTCTTTCAAACATAATCAATTAAAAGAGAATAATATATATAAATATTAAAAAAAAAAAGAAAACTAATGCATATAGTATGGTAGTTAGTGAACATATTTTAAACCCACAAATATTTTTATATTGATGTGCTAATCCAATGGTAATAATATTTAATTAAAATAATGATAATTAAAAAATAATTAGTTAGTATCTCATAATTGCATTATTATTAAAATAAAAAGTATTACAATATCAAAAAACTCCACTAATTTGATCAATCAAATCTCACAAATCACATTATAAAAATGAGATTTAGAAAACAACCCTGATTCCCTTATTAAGAAAAGGCTAAAATGGGAAAAAAATTTGCAATCAATTTAAGTGATTTTGATTCTGATTATTTTTTATTTGAATTTAACATTCTCAATTGAAGTTCGAGTTTGTTAAAAAATCGTAAAAAAATGTTTATAAATTTCTTAAATTAAACATATTTGAATTTATAAGTGTAAATGATATATTGGTACTCTTAAGTTATTTGGGTTTAATTCAAATAAAATTCAAATAAAATTCAAATTCGGTTTGATTATTATTGAGTCTAATTCGAGCTCGAGTAGTTCGATTCATCGATCGAATCAAATTCGAGTATTCTTATACTTAATTCGAATAGCTTGCGAACCTAATCGAATTTTTATATTTAATTTTTAAAAATTATTTTAATTAATAAAATATCTCGAATTCGAGTTCGAGATCGAACTTGAACACAAATAATCAAACTTTTATCGAGTATAAGAATCGAGCTTATTTTTACATATTTTCGAATTTAATCGAACGAGTTTGAGTAGCTCGAATTCGATCACGAATCGAACTTAAAGTAAAAAAATGAAATTCGATCGAGTTCGAGTTGAATATCAAATCGCAAGTTGAGAGTCGAACTCGAGCTTCTCACCGTATCATTCGATTCAGTTCAATTATACCCCTATTTGAATCCATTCAAAAATATATATTCAACAAAATTTAAATAATTTTTATCGTTAAAAAAATAAAATTACCAATAGATTAATATATAAATACGAATTTTTATTATTTTAAGTCCTTTTATTATTGATAATTCAATTATATAGATGTAGAAAATAATACATAATTTTTGTTGATATTGCGAAATAGGAAAATTCAAATCCAATTTCTTGAATAAAGAAAAAAGGAATTTTTTATCATGAAAATTAAAAAAAAAAAATTTATCATGAAAATTAAGCAAAATGTTGGATTGTTAATTTTTTATCATGAAAATTAAAAAAAAAAAAAAAATTGGATGCTGATGACTGTAGTGTGTGGTTCGTCCAGTCAGCAACCCAAGAAGTGGCACCATTTGCAAGAATAAGAAATAAACAAATTTCCTTTTTTAATGTGTTTTAATTTATTTTTTATTATTTTTTAATAATAAATAAATAAATATTTATTATTAAATATGTGGTTGGGAAAAAAACAAAAAAATAAAAGTTGAAGCCTCGAAGGTACCGAAAAGGAGTGGCCTAAAGGATAACGATTATCCTATCCAAAAAAAAAATTGTGTTGGATTATTCAAATTAGTACCGGTTTCCCTGGCTGCCAAGTGTCGATAACTTAGTCTAGAAGGTGTTAGGTTTAGGCACGTGTCAGTTAAAAGATTAGCGGATGGGGTCAAAGAAAGGAAGCTAGAGAGGTTTTGAAGAATGGACGGTATGGGATTGGGGTCATTGTTCTGGTTGGGGTTTTGGTACATTTTGGTTTGCTAATTTTTTTTTTCCTTTTTGCAAGTAAGGTCAAGATTCTAAAAAAATTATAGACATTGAAATCAAAATTTATGGACATTTATATCCTAAAAAATTTTAAAAATCATTTGAACTAAATCCTAAATTTTTTTCTTCGCTGGCCTCCAATTTGGTTGGTTTGGTCTAAGTTAATTTGCTTTTCGTTGGGTAGGTTAAATTAATACTTGCCTTGATGGATATATCCATTTTAATTATGTTTTATCTTAAGTTTTTTATTTTATTTTTAAAAAATTGATAATTACAATATATATATGATTAAAAAAAAGATTTCGCATTTATTTTTTTAATAAAAATTTACATTTTGATTGTTAAATTAATTATTTAATTATAATTAAAGATATAATTGAGTCAAGTTAAATTGATATAATAAGAAGTTCGAGTTTGATTCAAAATTTAATTTGAATTTAGTCGAATTTTAATTTTTAATATTTTATTTAACTTTAAAAAAATTAAATTATTTAAACTTATTCATTAATTTTATTTATCAAATAAAAATAAACTCAATTATTTATATTCAAACAAAAATTTAAACATAAATTAATATATATAAAAATAATAATAATTTTAAAAATTAAAATATATTAAAATATAAAAAATTTGATTAAACTCTTTAATTATTTGAATTAATTATTAAGATACTCAAATTTGATTTACTCAATAAATCAAATTATTTAAATTTAAATTTGATTCAATAATAATTAAATTAATTTATATTTTATTTAAATTAAATCTGAATAATTTATAAATATTGATGTACACCCCGTAATTGTAATCTATAAGCAAAACAATTAAACATCAATTGTTAAGCCAAATTGTGATAGGTTGAAATTTATATAAAATCCTTCAATATTTTTGCTGGAGTTGAAGATAGAAACCCACTCTTACATGAATTCCACCCCTTTAAGAAAAAAAAAAAAAAGATGTATCATTGGAGGCCAAATCTTTTTTTTTTTTTTTTCTAAATTATCTTTAAGAGTAACTTGACTTTTGAAATTCAATCACTTTTCACATGTATTATTTTTTATTTGGAATTATTTTTCTAAATATTGCTCCTCAGCTGAAAAATTAAAACAAAATTATTTACATGGTTAACATGAAAGTTGGTGAGAATGATAGTTAAAATTTTTTTTTTTTTAAATAAGGGAAAACAAAGATCGATAAATACGATAATCGTTATCCAATTGCAAATGTCTGGCTTTACTTAAATTATTTTTGCATAAATTTTAGGGTAAAATGACAAAATCACATCGAGTTTGAAGTCATGCTTTTACAATTTCTTTTTTAAATTATATGTAGTAATTTATATAAGCTCAACTACCTTTGTATTTGTATAAATGAGTCTTTGATATTTAATTAATTAATTTATTTAATGAATTGAATTAAAGTTATTTTTATTTCTTTAAATTAATATTGTTTTTGTCTTTTAAATTACAATCATGTTTCAATTCGAAAATTTTAATTCTAAAATCGACTCCTATATCATTGATTTAATAGTTAATTAATTAAACTAATATTGTTAAAGAAATGTTATAAAAAAAATAGTTAGAATAATACCCTATTTCCCAATAATTGAGCCCTTTCTTTTTCTTTAATCTTTCTAAGATTAGATTGGCCAACTAATTGGAAATTTTTGAGTGGACAGTTGAACTCGTTGAATTCAAAAAAAAAAGATTTCTAAAGGCTTGATTATTTTAAACACATACCATTGAACTTTATGAGATTGTAATCATGAATAATGGCAAAATAATCTTTTATTTTTCTTCCATTTTCTTGAAGCATGTGATGTTATAGGAGGCAAGGAAGTATCCACAGATGGTGAAGGGGAATCTTCAAATATAAAATAACTATGTTAATTTGCCTATTACTTATAGAAAAGGAATCTAATGTGAATAAATCATGTTCAAAAAGCATATATTATTTTATTTTCAATGTAGATTGGACAGGGTTTAGGCATGCTCCAATAATTATTATACAAACTAATAAGTTAATATTTTGAGACATTTAAAGATAGAATTTGAATGTTAATTTGAAGATTTTAATTTAAAATCTAAATTCGATGAAGAATATATTTAAATGAATGGTTCGATGTACAATGAGAGTATTCGAGTGAATT